CTCTCTGGGACTGCTGCAGTGTTTGCCGTCTATAGGCAAGTCCTCTGACTAAGAAACTGGGGCCCATCCCTGCCCTAACCCTGCCCGGGTAGCACTTGTCAAAGCAAGCACCCCGGCAGGAAGTGAGGTCCAGAGTGTAACCGAGTCTCCTCCAGGAGCCACACAGGAGCCGTCCTCCCCCCTCTGCCCAGCACCCACTGCACAAAGCTTGCAAGGGACTGACACTCAAACATGCAGGTGTTGAAACACGGAATAGAAATAGAATGTATTTCCTCCTGAGACCAGCACACACACACACACACACACACACACTCAGATTGAAAACACATAAAAATACAATCTAGGAGGTGAGAGGGCGACAGAAAAGAGGAGACACTCCACAGAGAGCACATGTGACACAGACAGCAGGGCCAGGGAAGGTGGACGTCGGAGCGACAGTGCCACACGGATGACGCACCAGGCCTCTTGCTCCCCTTACCCAAAGGAGAGCCCTCCCCCAAACACAAACTCACGCCATCAAGTGGATGCTGACTCAGCAATCCTCTAGGGGGGTTCTGCTCTTGCAAAGAGCTACGGTCTCGGAAGCTCCCAGAGGCAGCTCTACCCTGTCGTCCAGGGTCGCTCGGGGAAGGGGAGGCGAGAGCAGACGTCGGGAAAAGAACCCCTGGATGCTGACTTGCCGGGGATGCTCCTGAACTCAGCAAACAGTGAGCACCAAGACCGGCCGAGGGCCTCACCAGGGGAGAGCGAGCAAGAAAAGAAGAGAAAGCCAGGGCCGCCAAGTTCCCACCATCAAGCCTGGGGCCGAAAAGGGAAGCGCTTACAATGACTGCACAGTAGTCGTCAAGCTTGTTAGATAGCAAAATGCAAACCATTTTCTTTGTATCAGTAAAAAAAAAAAAAAAAAGGGGGTGGGGGGACGACAGAAATTCCATTCCAGTAGAAAACCAGCACTTTCGGATCAAAGAAACAGACACACAAACACACAGAAGCAGTTGTCCTGGAGGAGCGTCCAGCAGGCAACTCTCCGTGTAGGGACTCGAGCTGCACTTCGGAAGCTTTTCAGGGCTGTGACCTTTCAGAAGGAGCCCCGATGGCTCGGGTTAAACGCCCAGCTGCCAACAGGAAGGTTAGTGGTCAGAACCACCAGCCGCCCCAGGGGAGAATGATGTGGCCGTCTGCGTCCGTGAAGCTTCCCACTGTGACCCACAGAGACCTTGAAAGACAGAGTCCTAGAGCTGGCTGCACGCGTCCCCAGACTGCGAATCTCTTCGGAGGCAGACTGCGGCATCTTTCTCCCCAGGGAGCAGCGAGTAGGTTTGAACCTCTGACCTCTGAACCACTAGACCGCCAGGGGATAGCTCCTTCCTTAAAGGAGTTCTGTGGAAATTGTATGGGGTCCTGTTGGGTCTCTATGAGAAGCAAGTAAGAGAAACAAGAGTTCCTGTATATTCTAGGAACCTCCAGTCCTACGAAATTTATTTTCAAGTGTCTGCGAGCCGTGTTTCAAAGCTATGCATGAGATTTTTTGAACCAGAAGGCGCTCAAGGAGAGGGATTCGCAGTGTGGCTGCCACACTGGGCGCAAGCTTGGGAACGATGGTGAGGCCTGCTCGGGCCTGGGCAGTGTTTTGTGCTCTTGTGCCCGGGTCGCTCTGCGTCTCATTGGCACCTCACAACAACAGGAGACACGTCCCACCCCTTGCCTGCCAGTTCGTTGTACTGTGCTGGCTTCCTACTGCTGTGCTTTGGAAAGATATGCCACCGATGTTTCAAATTCCAACAGGGTCACCCGGGATGGACAGATTTCAGCAGAATTCCCAGACTGAGGACAAACTGGGAAGAAGGAACAGACGGTGTACTTGTGAGGGATAAGCAAAGGATAATCTCACGAGTTTCCATGAACGTTGTTAAATAGAGTGCCAGTAGATGAGCCCTCCGATTGGAAAACACTCAACATGTGGCTGAGCAGAGTAGAGGAAAGGAGGGTGCACCCTGAGGACATGAGCGGAGTGAAGCTTCCAGGAACATCACTTGCTGACGGAGCATCTGCAAGCATCCCTTAATCATCGGAACAGATAACGGACAGTGCATGGGTCTAGGAACATTGTCTTTCAAAAACCAAAATAGAATGCATAAAGATTGATATCCTAGGCATTAGTGAACTGAAACGGGCTGATATTGATCACTTTGACTCAGATAAGCATGGCTTACCATGTGGAC